GCCAGTTTTTCACCAAGCCAATCTCTGACTGAACTTTGACCAAGGCCTCTTTGACCAACTTTGACCAAGGCCAATCTCTGACTGAACTTTGACCAAGGCCAATCTTTGACCAACCTTTGACCAAGGCCAATCTCTGACTGAACTTTGACCAAGGCCAATCTTTGACCAACCTTTGACCAAGGCCAATCTCTGACTGAACTTTGACCAAGGCCAATCTTTGACCAACCTTTGACCAAGGCCAATCTCTGACCAATCTTTGACCAAGGCCAATCTCTGACCAATCTTTCTCACGGTGCCTTCTCCTAGAGAGTCCATGTGATGGGACCACGAGGGACGGAGTGTGGGAAGGTGGAAGTAGAAGAGGAAAATAAAGTGATCCCATGCCATTGTCCCACCTCAGTTGGGATTCCTCCGAGCCGCCCGTCTACAGCTTTAGGATGTTTGTGTCACTTTCCTCTCGGAATGAGGCGGTTGGCGCAGACACAATGGTGGCGATGAAGATGTATGGAGGAAGGAGGGATTGTTTACACTCCTCATTAGAAGTCCATGAATTCCCTGCTCAAGCCGTAAATGCCTTAATGGAGATTGATGAGCTGATAGCAGGCTGGTTAGGGAGTGTCACTCAGTGCAGGTAGAGCTTCCACGGGCGACACTGATATCTGATATGGGATGAAACAAGTTGGACTGTCTGGGATACACAGGAAAGCTGCACTCCAGGGCATGTCCATAATGACTGTCGGCCAGCCCTAGTCACTGACCTCCCATCACATCAGGAGACACGTATCAGCTTTACATGCAGGCTTGGGCCATCCTGAAGGCTCTTTACTGTCTTACCTGCCAACAAGGGTAACATGATCCTCCACCAGCTCTTGGGTATCATCTCCTTCCATCCATTGCAGGTATGTCATATGTGAAGTATAACTGGTCACGTGTCGGTGAGGGAACCATGACCTGATAATTCACTCCGGGTTCTCCTTTAAGTCCCTCTACATAGAAGCCATGATGTCGGTACTTTATACCATGTGAAAAGAGAAAAAGTCTACAGGAGCCATGAACGACTATGACTGAAGGCTTTCTATTCCAGAATATTCCTGTGCTAGAAACCAGTGGCTTGGGATGCACATTTGGCCACTGGAAGAAGTGATTTGTGGGACTCCGCTCTTACATGTGTACGGTCCCTAGTCTTTTGGACTGCTGATAACAGATGACAGAAGAAGGTTGTGTTTTATGAAGCCCATACGTGCCTTATCTCATGAAAAGTCCAGGATTTGATGACGTGTGTGGGGAAGTGGAACCATCACAGGATCCTAATAGCTGGACTTGGTACCATCACTGGATCCTAATGGCTGAACTTGGTACCATCCAGGATCCTAATGGCTGGACTTGGTACTATCACTGGATCCTAATGGCTGGACTTGGTACCATCACTGGATCCTAATGGCTGGACTTGGTACCATCACTGGATCCTAATAGCGGGACTTGGTACTATCACTGGATCCTAATGGCTGGACTTGGTACCATCACTGGATCCTAATAGCTGAACTTGGTACCATCCCAGGATCCTAATAGCGGGACTTGGTACCATCACTGGATCCTAATGGCTGGACTTGGTACCATCACTGGATCCTAATGGCTGGACTTGGTACCATCACTGGATCCTAATAGCGGGGTTTGGTACCATCACTGGATCCTAATGTCTGGACTTGGTACCATCACTGGATCCTAATGGCTGGACTTGGTACCATCCCAGGATCCTAATGGCTGGACTTGGTACCATCACTGGATCCTAATAGCGGGACTTGGTACCATCCCTGGATCCTAATGGCTGGACTTGGTACCATCACTGGATCCTAATGGCTGGACTTGGTACCATCACTGGATCCTAATGGCTGGACTTGGTACTATCACTGGATCCTAATAGCTGGACTTGGTACCATCACTGGATCCTAATGGCTGGACTTGGTACCATCACCTGGATCCTAATGGCTGGACTTGGTACCATCACAGGATCCTAATGTCTGGACTTGGTACCATCACCGGATCCTAATGGTAGGGAACTTGGTACCATCACAGGATCCTAATGTCTGAACTTGGTACCATCACTGGATCCTAATGGCAGGACTTGGTACCATCACAGGATCCTAATGTCTGGACTTGGTACCATCACTGGATCCTAATGGTAGGACTTGGTACCATCACAGGATCCTAATGTCTGAACTTGGTACCATCACTGGATCCTAATGGCAGGACTTGGTACCATCACCGGATCCTAATGTCTTAACTTGGTACCATCACTGGATCCTAATGGCAGGACTTGGTACCATCACGGATCCTAATAGCTGGACTTGGTACCATCACTGGATCCTAATAGCTGGACTTGGTACCATCACTGGATCCTAATGGCTGGACTTGGTACCATCACTGGATCCTAATGGCTGGACTTGGTACCATCACTGGATCCTAATAGCTGGACTTGGTACCATCACTGGATCCTAATGGCTGGACTTGGTACCATCACTGGATCCTAATAGCTGGACTTGGTACCATCACTGGATCCTAATGACTGGACTTGGTACCATCACTGGATCCTAATAGCTGGACTTGGTACTATCACGGGATCCTAATGGCTGAGTTTGGAGAAGTAACCCATCATTTGATCCTTATGGCTGGACTTCAAAAATGGAAACATCACTGGATATCAATGACTGGGTCCTGAAGAAGTGAACCATCACTGGTCTAAATCATTGAAGCATCACTGGATCCTGATTGCTAGGCTTGGAAAATGAACCTATCATCAGATCATCAGATCAGACCAGAAGATGGACTTGGTACTGTCACTGGATCCTACTGGATGGACTTGGTACTGTCACTGGATCCTACTGGATGGACTTGGTACTGTCACTGGATCCTACTGGATGGACTTGGTACTGTCACTGGATCCTACTGGATGGACTGGTACTGTCACTGGATCCTACTGGATGGACTTGGTACTGTCACTGGATCCTACTGGATGGACTTGGAGGATGGAGACGGGAACCGTTACCAGACCCTAATGGCATGACAGAACTCTTAGTGGCTTTTACTGCAGAACAGAAGATGGCTGACAACACCATTCATAATCCGAGTAAAACTGATCCAATCGCACACGTATGTTCATTCCATGATCATACTCTGCTTATGATATGTAATAAATGGGAAGACTATCCATGAGATGAACTGCATGAAACATAAAACTGGATACAATCGTAGAAGAAGGAGAGGATCGATGCTGAAGATGGTGGAGTTGTGTTCTTCTGATACTTCTAGGCGTGGCCACCACTTGATGTCTTTTGACATATGAAGAGCAATGCAAACCAACTTACCTGTTCTATGATGACACCTACTGCACTGTACAGTCTTCCAATGTCCTCCAATGTGTTGTGCTGTCCTCTAGTGTCCTGCAGTATCACCCAATGTCCTTTACTGACCTCTAATGTCCTGCTATGTACTCTACTGGCCTCCAATGTCCTGCTATGTACTCTACTGGCCTCCAATGTCCTGCTGTGTACTCTACTGACCTCCAATGTCCTGCTGTGTACTCTACTGGCCTCCAATGTCCTGCTGTGTACTCTACTGGCCTCCAATGTCCTGCTGTGTACTCTACTGACCTCCAATGTCCTGCTGTGTACTCTACTAGCCTCCAATGTCCTGCTGTGTACTCTACTGACCTCCAATGTCCTGCTGTGTACTCTACTAGCCTCCAACTGGCCTCCAATGTCCTGCTGTGTACTCTACTGGCCTCCAATGTCCTGCTGTGTACTCTACTGGCCTATAATGTCCTGCTGTGTACTCTACTGACCTCCAATGTCCTGCTGTGTACTCTACTGGTCCCTCCAATGTCCTGCTATGTACTCTACTGTCCTCCAATGTCCTGCTGTGTACTCTACTGACCTCCAATGTCCTGCTGTGTACTCTACTGTCCTTCAATGTCCTGCTGTGTACTCTACTGACCTCCAATGTCCTGCTGTGTGCTACACTGGCCCCCAATGTCCTGCTGTGTACTCTACTGACCTCCAATGTTCTGCTGTGTACTCTACTGGCATCCAATGTCTTGCTATGTACTCTACTGGCCTCCAATGTCCTGCTATGTACTCTACTGTCCTTCAATGTCCTGCTATGTACTCTACTGGCCTCCAATGTCCTGCTATGTACTCTACTGTCCTTCAATGTCCTGCTATGTACTCTACTGGCCTCCAATGTCCTGCTATGTACTCTACTGGCCTCCAATGTCCTGCTATGTACTCTACTGGCCTCCAATGTCCTGCATAATCACATAATGTTCTGTTCTGTCTTTAATTGTCCTCCAATGTCCTGCTATGTACTGTAGTGGCCTCCAATGTCCTGCTATGTACTGTAGTGGCCTCCAATGTCCTGCTATGTACTCTACTGGCCTCCAAAGTCCTACAGTATCATCTAAGGTTCTGCATTCTCCTGATTTGTTCTGTGCTTAGTAGCAAAACCCACAATATTTATTGGGTGAAATCTTCTCCTTGATAACTCTGCTGTCCTACTAATACTCAGGTTCCTTTGCTGCTGTTGCCCAGTAAATATGGCCACACCCTCCATTTGCACCAATAAAGATCAGCGAACGGAGATCCATTTCTGTGTTCTGAAGGTACCAGGAGCTGAAATCCATCGAAGGCTCTCATCACAATGCAGGGAGGGTGTTATACCGCGGAGAACTGCGCCCACTTACAGGTGCCTGAGGAGGTCTGCGAATTGCCACAAACCAACATGTAGAAGAAGTGCCGCGTACACGGGAGGGACACACCACACATGATGTCCTGAGGGCAACACCAAGTTGTGGGCACAGGAAGAAATATATTCAAAAGTAACGGGATGATGCTGAAATATGGAACTGTCTGCTCCCCACTGTTCTTCAACCAAATGATAGAATTCGAGTGTGGAGAGTTACCGACTCACCCAGGTGTATACAGATAGATACACTATATTGCCTCAAGTATTGGCCACGCCCTCCCAATCATGTGATTCAGGTGTTCCAATCCCCTCCCAATCATGTGATTCAGGTGTTCCAATCCCCTCCATATCATGTGATTCAGGTGTTCCAATCCCCTCCATATCATGTGATTCAGGTGTTCCAATCCCCTCCATATCATGTGATTCAGGTGTTCCAATCCCCTCCATATCATGTGATTCAGGTGTTCCAATCCCCTCCATATCATGTGATCCAGGTGTTCTAATCCCCTCCATATCATGTGATTCAGGTGTTTCCAATCCCCTCCATATCATGTGATTCAGGTGTTCCAATCCCCTCCATATCATGTGATTCAGGTGTTCCAATCCCCTCCATATCATGTGATCCAGGTGTTCCAATCCCCTCCATATCATGTGATTCAGGTGTTCCAATCCCCTCCATATCATGTGATTCAGGTGTGTTCCAAACCCCTCCATATCATGTGATTCAGGTGTTTCAATCCCCTCCATATCGTGATTCAGGTGTTCCAATCCCCTCCATATCATGTGATTCAGGTGTTTCAATCCCCTCCATATCATGTGATTCAGGTGTTCCAATCCCCTCCATATCATGTGATTCAGGTGTTCCAATCCCCTCCATATCATGTGATTCAGGTGTTCCAATCCCCTCCATATCATGTGATTCAGGTGTCCCAATCCCCTCCATATCATGTGATTCAGGTGTTCCAATCCCCTCCCAATCATGTGATTCAGGTGTTCCAATCCCCTCCATATCATGTGATTCAGGTGTTCCAATCCCCTCTCAATCATGTGATTCAGGTGTTCCAATCCCCTCCCAATCATGTGATTCAGGTGATCCAATCCCCTCCATATCATTTGATTCAGGTGTCCCAGTTGTGTCCCAATCCCCATATCATGTGATTCAGGTGTTCCAATCCCCTCCATATCATGTGATTCAGGTGTCCAAATCCCCTCCATATCATGTGATTCAGGTGTTCCAATCCCCTCCATATCATGTGATTCAGGTGTTCCAATCCCTCCATATCATGTGATTCAGGTGTTCCAATCCCCTCCATATCATGTGATTCAGGTGTCCCAATCCCCTCCATATCATGTGATTCAGGTGTTCCAATCCCCTCCATATCATGTGATTCAGGTGTTCCAATCCCCTCCATGGACACAGGTATATACAATCAAGCCCCTAGGCATGCAGACGGCTTCTACAAACATTGGTGAAAGAATGGGTCGCTCTCAGGAGCTCAGTGACTCCAAGCGTGGTCCCGTGATAGGTGGCCACCTGGGCAATAAGTCCATCCGTGACATTTCCTGGCTACTAAATATTCCACGCTCAACTGTTAGTGGGATTATAACAAAGTGGAAGCCACAGGGAACAACAGCCACTCAGCCACCAAGTGGTACACCACGTCACATGACAGGGCGGGGTCAGCGCATGCTGAAGCGCACAGTGCGCAGAAGTCGCCAACTGTCTGCAGAGTCAATAGCTAAAGACCTCCAAACTTGGTGTGGCCTTCAGATGAGCCCAACAACAGTGCGTAGAGAGCTCCATGGAATGGGTTTCCATGGCCGAGCAGCTGCATCCAAGCCTTCCATCACCAAGTGCAATGCAAAGCGTCGGATGCCGTGGTGTAAAGCACGCCGCCACTGGACTCTAGAGCAGGGGAGATGGGGGTGTTCCTCAGGGGTTGGGCTTGGCCCCCTGGTTCCAGTGACATTTTGGACAATTTCATGCTCCCAACTTTGTGGGAGGAGTTTGGGGATGGCCCCTTCCTGTTCCAACATGACTGCCCACCAGTGCACAAAGCAAGGTCCATAAAGACATGGAGGAGCCAGTTTGGGGTGGAGGAACTTGACTGTCCTGCATAGAGTCCTGACCTCAACCCCATAGAACACCTTAGAGCGGAGAGCGGAGACATTAGAGCGGAGACTGCGAGCCAGGCCTCCTCCCCCGACATCAGTGCCTCCTCCCTCGACATCAGTGCCTGACCTGACAAATGTGCTTCTGGAAGAATGGTCCAACCTTCCCATAGACACCCTCCTAAACCTTGTGGATGACCTTCCCAGAAGAGTTGAGGCTGTTATGGCTGCAAAGGGCGGGGCCAACTCAATATTGAACCCTACGGACTAAGACTGGGGGGCCATTAAAGGTCCTGTGTGTGGGAGGGCGGCGGGGCCAACTCAATATTGAACATTATGGACTAAGATTGGGAGGCCATTAAAGGTCATGTGTGTGGAAAGGGCGGGGCCAACTCAATATTGAACCCTACGGACTATGACTGGGGGCCATTAAAGGTCATGTGTGGGGAAAGGGCGGGGCCAACTCAATATTGAACCCTAAGGACTAAGACTGGGGGCAATTAAAGGTCATATTGTGGGGGAAAGAGCGGGGCCAACTCAATATTGAACCCTAAGGACTAAGACTGGGAGGTCATTAAAGGTCATGTGTATGGAAAGGGCGGGGCCAACTCAATATTGAACCCTACAGACTAAGACGGGGGGCCATTAAAGGTCATGTGTGGGGAAAGGGGGGGCCAACTCAATATTGAACCCTAAGGACTCAGACTGGGAGGTCATTAAAGGTCATGTGTATGGAAAGGGCGGGGCCAACTCAATATTGAATCCTAAGGACTAAGACTGGGGGGCCATTAAAGGTCACGTGTGGGGAAAGGCAGGTGGCCGGATACTTGGGGCAATATAGTGTATATATATCATCTATGACTGTCCAGATGATGATCTCTGCTGAAGGAGGGTTGGATGAGAAGTCTCACATCTTATATTAGACTACAAACGTCCTCCGAGTTCTGAAGTCGGCTTCCATCTCTTCTCCATGGGATATAATGGGATATAATGGGGGATATAGTGGGATATAGTGGGATATAGCGGGATATAGTGGGATATAGTGGGATATATAATGGAATATAGTGGGATATAGTGGGATATATAAATGGGATATAATGGAATATAGTGGGATACAGTGGGATATAATGGGATATAGTGGGATATAATGGTGGGATATAGTGGGATTATATAGTGGGATATATAATGGGATATAGTGGGATATATGGGATATAATGGGATATAATGGGATAACAGTGGGATGTAGTGGGATATAATGGGATATAGTGGGATATAATGGGATATAGTGGGGATATAGTGGGATATAATGGGATATAGTGGGATATAATGGGATATAGTGGGATATATAATGGGATATAATGGGATATAGTGGGATATAGTGGGATATAATGGGATATAATGGGATACAGTGGGATGTAGTGGGATATAATGGGATATAATGGGATATAGTGGGATATAGTGGGATATAATGGGATATAATGGGATATAGTGGGATATAATGGGATATAGTGGGATATAATGGGATATAATGGGATATATAATATGTGGGATATAGTATAATGGGATATAATGGGATACAGTGGGATATAGTGGGATATAATGGGATATAGTGGGATATAGTGTGGGATAATAGTGGGATATAGTGGGATATAATGGGATATATAGTGGGATACAGTGGGATATAATGGGATATAGTGGGATATAATGGGATATAGTGGGATATAGTGGGATATAATGGGATATAATGGGATATAGTGGGATATAATGGGATATAATGGGATATAGTGGGGATATATGGGATATAGTGGGATATAATGGGGATATAATGGGATATAGTGGGATATAGTGGGATATAATGGGATATAATGGGATATAGTGGGATATATGGGATATAATGGGATATAGTGGGGATATAGTGGGATATAGTGGGATATATAATGGGATATATGTGGGATATAGTGGGATAAATATATGGGATATAGTGGGATATAGTGGGATATAGTGGGATATAATGGGGATATAATATAGTGGGATATAGTGGGATATAGTGGGATATAATGGGATATAGAATTATAATGGGATATAGTGGGATATAATGGGATATAGGATAGTGGGATATAATGGGATATAGTGGGATATAGTGGGATATATGGGATATAGTGGGATATAGTGGGATATATGGGATATAGTGGATATAGTGGGCATATATGGGTGGAGCGGGATATAGTGGGATATAGCGGGATATACTGAGATATAGTGGGATATAATGAGCTATAGTGGGATATAATGTGGGATATAGTGGGATATAATGGGATATAGTGGGATATAGTGGGGATATAGTGGGATATAATGGGATATAGTGGGATATAGTGGGATATAATGGGATATAATAAATATAGTGGGATATAGATATAGGGATATAATGGGATATAGTGGGATATAGTGGGATATAGTGGGGATATATATAATGGTATATAGTGGGATATAATGGGATATAGTAGTGGGATATAATGGATATATGGGATATAGTGGGATATAATGGGATATATATAGGGGATATAGTGGGATATAATGGGATATATAGATATAATGGGATATAGTGGGATATAATGGGATATAATGGGATGGGATATAGTGGGATATAGTGGGATATAATGGGACGTATTCCACCCCGAAGTGAAGGGACCCCCGGCTGAGCACAGTCCCGTCTTCTGTCTGAATTCATATTGGAGAGTCAGTGAGATGGACCAGAGATACCGATTGGTAGACGATTGGACTCAGAGATATTCCGGCAGAGGAGAGTTAGGCCCGGTACACACTGATGGAATTGGAAGTAAAGGCTGCATTTTGCTTTTGTTTTTTTTTACGTATTTTTAATGTCGGACGTTTTAGGTGAATTATAACATAAAAAATAAATTTTATGTAAAAAACTAACTAAAGCCAACAATGTATTGTCCACCGTCCCACCGGGGTGCTCCGTGTCCTTCCAGAGATTTGTTCTGACTTCACAAAGGAATACGAAAAACCTAGAAAAAAAAAATCTCATATATCGCAGTGGACCAATCCTTAGAGGTGGTGACTGCAGTAGTTTTCTTTTTTCAGGCCTTTTTTTCCTTTATTTCACCTGGTGATCCTGCCAGTGTCAGACCTCCTGTCTTAGGGTGTCTCCACTCTGGATGGAGGAGCAATGGAGACACCTTTGGACAGCAGTTTTGTCAGTCTGGGGGGAGGGGAACGTTTATTTAGTCTTTGAATCGTTAGTGGGATCAAACCAACATTTGTTTTCAACCTCCGAGTCTTCTGGAATGAAGAAATCGCTGACAGTGAATGTGGTTTTCATTCAAGAAATGACATTCATTCCAAAACCGATTGATAAAAACAACATTCTGAATGTCTGTCAGACGACATTCCTCCAGCCAGCCAATGTGCGAGGAATTCTCGTATGAATGTCCCTCTAAATATCTGCTGGTGTATAGCCGGCTATAGATGGACCGGCAGATGTACAGGGGGTTGGACAAAACAATGGAAACGCTCCATGATTGGCTGGTGTGAACGTTACGCCATGTTTAGCAGTGAAAGCGGAAGTGATGTAATATTCTTTTGTTTCCGCTGTGTGATGAGACACCCAGCTAACAGGTGGGAAGCCTCACTTTTCTCATTCTCTGCATGCGATGCTATTAATACGGAGTCGTGTCAGATTACTGAGCTTCAAAGACGGCGAATTGTTGGTGCTGCTCAGCTGGCGCCTCTGTGAGTGAAGTCGCCGATTTATTTGCCACGTGGCAAAGTTCAGTATCAAAGGTTATGGCGGCGTATACAGTTTCTGGGAAAACGACATCTGAAAAGCATAAGCCCCGCCCACATGGTCACCTGACCAAAAGAGACAAAAGTACATTGCACAGGATTGTGACTGCAGAGCTCAATCTCAGTCTTCA